AACTTTTCACAAAAAAACTAATTTCACTGTTTTTTGATCCTGACACAAAATGACCAGCTAACATTAATTGACTAATCATACCAGCAGCACATGTGAAAGTGTGAATGAGTACTAGTCAGGTAAAATCACTATTATATTAATTAGATAGTAAGAGCAGACTGAATGCTATAAAAGGAGGGAAGAAGCGCTTCCAATCATCGTGTTCTTGTTAGCAATGGTTTCCTCCAAATAAACACGTGCAGCCATCATCGCTTTGCATCAAAATGGCCTCACATGCAAGGAAAGTACAGACTGAAATTCTACAGGAAGTACAAGGATAGGACATCAGAAGACTGGTGCAAAGTTATTTTCTCCAACAGTGCCAACAGTGCAGCATCCTGAGACCATCCCATGTGTGGGGTTGCTTTTGAACCAAGGGAGTGGGCTCTTTCAAAATTCTGCCATGAATTAAGGATGGTATCAAAATGTCCTGCAGGATCGACTTCTTCCAACGATCCATGAGCAATTTGGTGATGATCCATGCATTTTCCAGCATGATGGAGCACCATGTCACAAAGCAATAGTGATAAAGAAGTGGCTCGAAGATCATTACTCTGAAATTTTGGATCCCTGGCCAGGCAACACTCCCGGATCTCAATCCCATAGAGAACCTGTGGTCAGTCCTCAAAAGGCGAGTGGACAAGCAGAAGCCCACAACTTGTGATCAACTCCGAGAACTAATAAGGCAAGAATGGATCGCCATCAGTCAGGATTTGGCCCAGAAGCTAATATCCAGCATGCCAGAGCGAATTGCAGAGGTTATGAAGAACAAGGGTCAACACTGTAAATATTGACTCGTTATATTTTTTTGCCAATAAACGCCTTTAAAACTTATGATATGCTTATCATTGTTTTTCAGTATACCATAGAAACGTGGAAAAATAATCTACAAATACTGAAGCAGCAAACTTTGCAAAACACAAAATTTGTCAATGACAAAACTTTTGGCCATGACTGTAGAGTGAATCTCTAAATATTTTTTACCTCTTTTGCAAAGTCATAGAAAAATTACCATGGATTTTATCAAATGTTATTTGTTGTGGTTTCCATTTACCACTGTTGAAGTTTACTCAACTAGGATGATTTCCCCTTCTGAGAACCCCGCAAATGTGAAAAGGAACCATTATACCCCATTTTATTAATGGAAGCCTTATTTGGGGGGAATGCGGACCACAAGTAATCAGCACAGAAACCACTATCATGGCTGATAAAACAGGGTTGGATAGTGGAAGTAGGACTGGGGGGTGTGGGAAGTCTGAACCTGGAATATTTGTGTCTCATTACAAATCCTTAAACGTAAGGTTGCCATAAAGCTTTTTTGTCTCCCTCAAGGGTTTTGCAGGTCTACCCATATGTATGGCAAAAACTCATCTGTCTCTGTCACATGATGCTGAAAAGAAAGGTGTCCCCACTGGATTTGTTCTTCCAATTCGTGACATTCGTGCAAGTGTAGGGGTAGGCTTTCTCTACCCACTGGTTGGCACAGTAAGTAGCGTAATATGAACATTCACATTCACAGTTTTAAACAGTAAGTATACTGCTATTTGGTTTATTAAAATTAAAATTAAAATAAAAAATAAAAAAAGAATTTTCTTGATTGTTTAAATAACTTTCATTCATTCATTCATTCAAGAAAAAAATCAGTAATTATGTTAAAACAGTAGTAATTGTGATTGGTACCATGTAAAATAAATGTTCTTACTTTTATTATTATTGTTTATTTAGGTTTATTTGTATTTTATTTTATTGTAGATGCCGACTATTCCTGGCCTTCCTACTCGTCCATGTTTCTATGACATTGATCTTGACACTGAGAGTGGAGAGGTTCTTGGACTTTTTTAAATGAAGTGTTATTGGGGTATGTAATAATCTGTTATTTAAATGTAATGCATTGTGCCTGTAAAATGGTACATATTTTAATACAGCTGTAATTAATTATTTTCTTGTTTAAGATTACAGTTTGTGGCAGTCCACATAGGATTCCTTCAACTGGATTAAAGAGCTCATTCTTCCTCTCAGATCGGAGGTTGTTATTTGACAGAACAGATGTGTTGTCATAACTTTTGATATATTCTGATCTATAACATTTGTCTATTTTCCTAATGAAAATTTCTAATAAATATTTTTATCAGACTACACTACACTACACTAATACACTGAGCAAATAAATTAAATTGTCCGTGGCATGATCTGGTCCAAATATTTTTGTAAGTGGTTAAGTGCTTTTTTTTTTTTAAATTTTATTAATTGTCATTTCTAAACTAATTTTGTAGATTGTCATTATCTCATAATAAATGTTTTCAATCTATAGGGTTTCTATCTAATTTTTTTTTCTTCATTTGTCAAGTGCCAAATAAGAGTAAAAACTGACTTTGGTGAGTAAATGTAAATAAAACTTGCCATTGACTGGTAACTCTACACTAAACAATTGTCATATACATATTTTTGATTCTGTTTGAATGCATTTACCTTGTGTATTTACTTAATAAATTGTAACTGAGCCTCAGATACAGTCTACTTAATCTGTGTCTGTAATGCCAGTTTCTGATTTGGGTATTAAAAACCCAAATTTGGGTATTATTCGGATAAATTTACAAAAAGTCTCCAGTTACTTTCTATAGTCTCACTACTATCTAGGAGAAATGTTCAAGGAAGAGATTTCATTTGTGTTTTGTTTTTTTTCACTTTAGTACTTCTAGTTACCTAAATTAAGAGCTAAGATGCATTTGAGATTTAATAAGTTTAATTTTAACATGCTCAGTTTAAAACTACAGCATAGTCAATTTTTGATATTTTAAATGCTCTTTATTTATTACTTTGCCATGGTAACAGCAAAACAAGTGAAATGAGGAGTGTCTGTTATCTTATGTTTAGTGGTTTTTACATGAAACACCACAAATGATGCATCTTACTAATAGAAGACGGGAACACACATGCACCCTCAGTTTAGTATTCTCTTCAGTAAAGTTTGTTACAAAAACTCCTTTTGTGTCTCACTTAAATGTTTCACAAAATGACACATGCACTTTTGTAGAGTGACATTTAAAAGTGAACTGTGGTATGTGAACATTTATGATATGTATAGCGGGCAGTCCAACTTTCAAAGCAGCAAAGAAGAACCTGTTTGGTGTGAATGTTAAGTTCACCTGTTACTCTGTTAATCGTACTGCTTGCTGCTGAACTTATTTATCCTTAAAGGGGTCATATAATGTTGCTAAAAAGAACATTATTTTGTGTATTTGGTGTAATGAAATGTGTTTATGCGGTTTAAGGTTCAAAAAACACATTATTTTCCACATACTGTACATTATTGATTCTCCTCTATGCCCCGCCTTTCTGAAACGCGTCAATTTTTACAAAGCTCATCGGTCTGAAAAGCGAGGTGTGCTCTGATTGGCCAGCTATCCAGTGTGTTGTGATTGGCCGAATACCTCAAGCGTGTGACGGAAATGTTACGCCCCTTACCATATTGTAATGCCCTATCTGGCCGGAGCGACGAGATAAAACCAATAAAACCCATTACAAACAAGGCATTTGTTGCATCCAGTGGGGACATAATTACTGATTATAATGACTTATACTGTGTTTTTACGCGTTGCGTTGCGTATCGCGCCGCCTAAACAAAACCATGTCTGCATTTGTGATCGAAGAAATGACAAACAACAAGCCCTACTCTACACTACCCAAAAAACTCGCTTTAAATATAAAAAAAATAAAACATAAAAACTCTTTAAATATAAAAAACTTACTTACAGTCTGTGAGTCAGAACAAGCCGGCATTGTAGTCTACTCTACCAGAATCAGGAAACAGTCCTCCATAAAATGCGCTAGACACATCTGAATATTTGGGTTAAACTGTTCTGGAACAGTGTTGTAAATACAACTTAACCACTGAGAATATCTCGTTGGATTTGGGACTTTAGTCTTTGCAACTTTACAGATCTTCTTTATGCACCATGAGCTTGTAACACTCCAAAGAGAAAGGAAAAATTGAAATAGCATCATATGGCAACTTTAATATTAAAACATGTCTCTCTCAATTTATTACATGTTGGTGACTAGGATAAAAGCAATGAAGAGAATGTTTGACTGGTGAAATAAGTTTTCGAGGTAGAGAATCTAATTCCATACAAGTTGGAGCCTTGGAAAGAGGATGGCAAGCATGGGAGAAACAGTCACACCATTTGATAGTCAATCCCAGTCTTGGGACGAATAATGTGAAATCTTTTTGAGCAACATTTCTTTTAGGCAAATGAGATCAAAGAAGAAGAGAAGATATTTTACTAAGCTCTGTACAGTCTAGTAAGGAATTTATTGTGCCCTGTTGTGTGGAATTGTTGAAAGAACACTTCGATCCAGAGCTCAGTGAAATTGTGCAGTGTGTTAAAATTCAATTCAAGATCAAAAGAGATGGTTCAAGAAAAATTTTAAAATCCTAGCATGGAGAGAATGCTAGTGTTTAAAGGTTTTTTTTATATATAAAAAGAAAACAAGTAGGTGGAAGATAAAAAGAATAGAGAATGCTAGTGTTAGATGGTCTTTCTTAAATAAAAAGAAAACAAGTAGTTAAAATAGAAATAGAATAGAGAGTGCAAGTGTTAGAGGATCACGTGTAGAAGGAAGAGATGTGTTTTTAGCCGTTTCTTGAAGCTGGCTAAGAACTCCGATGCTCAGATTGAGTTGGGCAGGTCATTCTACCAGGAGGGAACAGTTAAGGTGAAAGTGATTTTGTGCCTCTTTGGGATGGCACTATAATGCACCGTTCACTTATGGCGCTTTTCCACTGCATGGTACGGCACGGTATGGCTCGGTACGGCTCGTACGGTTCACTTTTGGGGGGTTTTCCACTGGGTACAGTACCTGGTACCTGGTACTTTTTTTTTAGTACCACCTTGCTAACATAAAACTCAAGATTTGCTGGAGAGCGGAGAAATTTACACGTGCTTAGCCCGCCATCCTGTTCCCTCCTTCCATGCCGTGCCGTACTGAGCCGTACCGAGCCGAGTCGTACAACGCAGTGGAAAAGCGCCATTACAGAGCTCCTGGAGGGAACATAAGTCTGAAGTAATGAATGTAGGTAAAGAGGTGCAGAGCCAGTGGTTGTTTTGTAGGCAAACATCAATACTAAAAAGCTAGCAACGTCAAAATAATTTGGTAGACAATATCCGCTAGTCTCAGATATGTGATGACAATATTTAGCAATTAATATTTAGCAATTTAAACAGTGAAACATGATAGTAAGACAGATTCAAAACAAAGCTAGACAGAGCTACAATTGCAAACCACTCAGCAGTGAGGCAGACAGGAATCGTTCAGTTACAGGATTACTCCTCAAACCACCACAGGACTCTCTCCAGCTGAAATGTTATATGACCAAAATCATGAACAACAAAAGCAAAAAGTCCATCATGATAAAAGGCCTAGGAACATAATTGAGGAAATGGGGATTGGGGATATTTCTAGTGAAGGGGTGGATTCTGGAATTCACTGCCACCTCAATATAAATATCCACTGCATGAAAAAGGTCAAATCTGGTAATATCTGGCCATGGTAAACTGCCGTGTAATTTCAGATTTGCCGGATGTATGTGGAAATTACCTGAGCCAAGTTACACAGTAAATTTCCAGAAATACCCACATACTCTGGTGTACACCGACATATACAGGAATCCATGAAGTTTCATGGACATATACAACTGAAACTGCTGGTTGTGGGAACTGGTGGCTGTCAGACCTTTCATATGTTAATGACCAGCAGTTAAGGTGCTTACTGTGTTCTCAGGTGGAGGGAGGGGGTGAGCCAGGGAAGTTTCTCAAAATAGTCTAAATATTATTGAACTCAAATATAGATAGCCTTATTATTTTTTGAACATATCTATGTATGTTTTATAATTTAAAGGCATTCTTTCTCCTCAGTTTCATTCTTCTTTCCATATTATTTCACAGAAATTAAGACCTTGTCCTTTACTGGTGTATCGGGAGAAGTGGTTTCTCTAGCTGTATCTCTACCAATAGTGATTAATGCCCCCCAAAAAATCAGTGTGTGTTATGAGGTATGATGTATATCTTTCCCTGGGCAACAGTGGAACTGTTCAATAGTTATGTTTAGTCAAAATTAGCAAAGAGTATATATATATAATTATAATTATAAACTACATATAGACAAACAATACGTTCATAAGATATCTCCCCTGATGAATATGTTATGTAAAAAGTGTGTCAAATAGCCCTGGTCTCCCATATATCTAACTCTTCATAAATGATCCCCTCCTACCACACACACACACACTCTCCACCCCCTTCTACAAAGACTTTTGTGTTTGACCTGATCTCAAGTCACACTTCTTGAAGACAGCAACAGCTACAGACTGAAACATTTGTAAGCTTGCACAGTTCTGGGAAGTTTACAAGTTTACCAATGAAATGACTTTTGAGGTGCTCAGTGGCCCAATAGCTGTCTGGTTTAGGGGTGGGTTTAGTTTCAAATCAACCAATCCAATTTAACATGAATGACCAAAAGGTCACACAGTGGCACAAAGGTGTGAATGTCCCCTGAAAAAAATGTTCTGAGGGGATTACTTGCCATGGCAACAAATGGCTGTTGCACAGTAGAATACCTCAGTAACATACATCCTAATTGGTACATATTCGGCAGTATAAGGAACCATGGTATTTCCTGTGTCTGGTCAGTAATACTCCCGGATTTGTCCGAAAATCTGCAGTGTGTATAGGAGTTTACTGGTTCGTATACACCCCTTTTCATGCAGTGATCCTTTTGAGTGGTTTATTAAGTTGTTAATTAATATTATTCTTCGAAACATTGAATGATTTGAAGGACTTCCCCATGTGAAACTTGAATAGTATAGAATTACATGTGCTCTCTCCTTGGTTTGAGAAAAGCACCCAACACGTTAAAACATACATTTACTCTTCTTACTTACTATGACAGCTTAGGTCACAAAGGTCATTAGGGCCTCTCATCTACATGACCAATTTACAATTAAAGCATTTACTTTATTTTTCATCTTTAAACAATATAAAATAATGAAGAATATTGTCTGAAACCTCTAGCTGATGAGTCTGGGCAAAGGATTATGGGAAATGAAGTCCAAGACTGAGTGACAGAGGTATGGGATGGAGTGCCCTCTGGTGGTTATGATCTCTGAACCCGTGAATCATGCCAGTTCATTGAGATCGCCCCTCAGTGGCGAACCATTGAACCAGCGTCAGTTTGATCAATTTGTAATTAAAAGGACGAGTAGTAGATAATAATCCCTTATTTTCCTGTTTAGACTAGCTCTCCATAAAACAAACAAAACAAGCAATTATTTTAAAAAACACATGTAATACAGGCACTTCACATTTAATGGTATTTTATTAT